CATGCTTGGATGCAGCCCTTGAATTAACCCAGTATTCTTACTGTATACTGTATTTGCCAAACTACTCTTGCTGCCTGCCCAACACTCATCCTCCTGGGAGCAAAGGAGTTTGATATTACATAATCAGCCATCATTTATTTACTCCTAATATATTTTTCCCCGGTCACATCTACCCAAGATGTTTACTGTGCAGTAGATTAATTAGCTTTGCATTAAATATCTTGGTGTCTACACGTGTGTCCCTGTTAGGCTGGAGTAAACTAATTTACTTCGCACATAAATTACAAGTACTGTCCTGCTGCAGAGTAAAAAACTTTGCAGCAGCAGACCATGTGTAGACAGTGACGCAGCTGGCTGGGGCATAAGGGTGCTTTAGTGCAGGGGCTGCTGACTAGCTAGCTCCATGCTGAATGCCCCAGCCAGCCCCTCTGCAGGACGGTGAGCTGAGGGGGCCTGCTGCCAGCCAGGGCTGATCTATCCTGGCTCAATGTGCTGCAGTCCTGGGCACAAGTTCAAATGGCAATAAACTCCGGAGTTTATTGTTCCAGAGTTTATTGCTCTCAGGCACATATTTAGGCACATATTGTTCTCCAGAGTTTACTGGTTTGCATTAATTGCACGTATACACATGCCCCTTAGTAGCAAACTGAAGAGGAACTGGTTAGGTGAACAAAAGTACTTGCTTGAAAGGCCAGCTCTGTAGATGATATATTTCTTTTGCAATCTTTTTGCTATCTTGATGTCATCTAGCACATCCATGCTCTGCTTTCTAAATTGATCCATTCCCATCTCTGCTTCTGAAGTGCAGATTTATATATAGAATAATGGCTCCATAAATTTAAAAATACTTTCATTGTCTTTCAAAATTTCTGTGTTGGAGGTACTCAATTTACAAATACAAGATTTTATTTTCCAGTTGCTAGAATTCAGCCTCATGTTTGAAAATGTAAGTAGGCTCTGTGGGCATGCATGTGTGTGTCGTCACTAATAACAAGGTTCTACAGAATAAACTACAGTCAGTCCTACCTATTCCCTGTACTACCCCAACTAATGCCACTGGGGTTGAACAGCTCTAACTGACCAAACTAAGCAATGCTGTTAGTGGTGGTGCCAAGAAAGAAAATAATCCACTTCACTTCATTTTGGCTCCATTCGTTCTGCAATGTTCCCAGGAGTACAAAAGCAGTAATAACTTATGTCAAGTCAGCACAAGTAATCTGCTGAACAAAAGAGTGAGATGTTCACTTTCTGTACCACATTATACTTTAAACAATTTTTCCCCCTACAGAACTGAAATACAGATACTCTTTTCTGATATTATAAAACACCTATCCTTTCTTTTTTCTTTACAAATATATAGTAACGTCCAAGCGCAAACTTAACATTCTTCACTCATATGTATTGTAATAGCATCTTTAATTGTACAGTTACACTGCATTTCAGAATGATACAAGCTACAAGTTGAATGGAATACAATGAGGATGCATACTTTTCTCTTTTCAATACATACAATGTAATATTTGCATTACTTATATGTCTTATGCTACTTGATCATGATACAGAGAAACCCTGTTGTGAAGTGGGCCTGATACACCAATGAATCTTACGATCTTAATTGGCCCCAATTACTACAATATCTGAGCTTCTCACAATCAATATACTCATGCCCTCACAACACCCCCACAAATTAAGGAAATGCTTTTACAACACAGGGGCTAAGGTTAAGCTCTGATTTTAAAGGCTATTAAATGTTGCTCCATTTGCGGGCCTAAATGATCTAGGGCCAGTCCAAGTCAGCCTTGTAGGTGCCCCATTTAGATGCCTCGCTTCAGGAGTGTGATTCAATCAATTAGGTGCCTAGACATTCTATATAGTGAACAGGGAGACATAAAGGTGAGCCAGAATACCAAGGTACTCAGTGGGGAAGTGCCTACAGCAAACCAATAGGAAATGGAGCGTGTCTGCAGAAGAGGACCTGGGAGTTACAGGGGACAATAAGCTGAATATGAGATAACAGTGTGCCCTTGTTGCCAAGAAGGCTAACAGCATACTAGGCTGCATTAGGAGAAGCATTGCCCACAGATTGAGGGAAGTGATTATTCCCTTCTATTTGGCACTGGTGAGGCCACATCTGGAGTACTGTGTCCAGTTTTGCCCCTCTTTCCTTCCCCGCAAGAAAGGATATGGACAAATTGGAGAGAGGGCAACCAAGATGATTATAGACTGGGGAACATATAAGGAGAGCCTGATGGAACTGGGATGATTTAGTTTGGAGAAGGGAAGACTGAGGAAGGACTTCATAGCAGCCTTCAGCTACCTGAAGGGCGGTTCCAAAGAGGAAGGAGGTAGGCTGTTGTTAGTGGTGATGGATGACAAAGCAAGGAGCAATGGTCTCAAATTGTGGCAAGGGAAGTTTTACCTAAATTTTCTCACTAGGAGGGTAATAAAGCATGGCAATAAACTACCCAGAGAGGTTGTGGAATTTCCATCCTTGGAAATTTTTAAGACCTGGGTAGATAAAGCTTGGCTGGGATGATCTAGGTGGGAATGTTCCTGTTTTGAGCAGAGGGTTTGACTAGATGACCTCCTGACGTCCATTTCAGCCTTAATTTTCTATGACTCTAGACCCTAGGACTAGGGACAGAAGTTACACATAAACCAGTTTAAGTGATCAGAAACTGGTTTAAACCTGTAACAGAATAGAAAGTCAGTGCATATCAATCACTTTAAAATAGCTGAAACTGGTTTAAGATAAACCTGGTTAAATGTAGTATCAGACTTAACTGATTTAGGTCAAACAAGTTTATGAAACTTCTGTCCCACACCCCTTCCTGGTTCAAGTTAAATCAGAGTCCCCCAGCATTTTGCAGACCTGGGCTGGGCTATCTGTTCCAGAAAGCAGGGCTAGTCCCACCTCTCTACTCCCTAGCAGTTAGGGCTGGCTCTCTTTTCTACCCTTCCCCCTGCCCCCCGGCAAACCCTGGCTGGGGTCTGGGGTCAGGGAGGAGAGTTAAACTTCCCTTCCCCCAAGTACAGAGCTGCCTTGCCCTGCCCTGCTCTGTGAAACTTACTGCTGACCAGTGGTGATGCGTAGGGGGTATTCGGGGGTACACGTGTATCCCCTGAGAGCATTGGTGCACCCCCTGACAGCCAGCACTTCCTGGTTAGATGATGGGTAGGGGGTCAGGTGGGAGCGCTGGTGCCCCCCGAGAGCTCCCGCTGGGGAGCAGGGGCACCAGGAGAAGCACCACTGCCATTTTTGGGAGCACTGCTGGTGCTTTTGTGTCAGCAAGATAGGTCGCAGGAGACCCCCACCCCACAAGTTGATGAAATTGGCCCTGGAGGCACCAGTCGCCCATGCCACTGACTGTGACTGTACAGTACAAATCCCAGAGGCACCTGGAAGCAGGAAGAGGAAGTAATGAGTAATCTTGCAGAGTCCTGGTACTGTGATTCTGGACTGCAAATCCCAGAGACCTTGGGGGCAGTAGGAAGAGGAAGCAAACAACAGCCCATGCTGGCTATGTGTTAGAGAGCCATGCTCTAGTGCCCCCTGGCTTCTGGCCTGAGCCACTGCAGGCATGTGGCTGCAATTTCTGAATCAAAAGTGAATATCTGTTGATTTGCTTATTGGTTCAGTCTTTGCAGCTTAGATTAACCTGCAAAGACTGAATCAATTCAGCCTTGGGCTTTTTGACTGTCTGTACTTAGTCCAAGTGTCTGACTCAGGGCTGCAAAGGAGAAACTTCTATAATCTCGAGATTCAGAGTGCCCTGATTAGACGTGTTGACCCATTTGACAGCACAGCTAAGTTGAGTTCGTTATGAAGCACTGAAACTTTTTTTCCCCAGTCTTGAATATGGTTGGCAATAATGATGTTGCTGCCCACCTTTTGCCCAGTTGCTACGTAGAGAACTCACACAGGAAATAGGAGAACTTAGGCTGACTTCAGGTAACAGCAAACAGAGATGACAGTTGTATATCTGGGTGACCAACACATGAACCACTTCTGAGCATTCACAGTAGCCCAAGGCTAGGTTCCAAAAGATTTTTCAGTCCAGAATGTAGGTGACTAATGAGTCTAGGCACCTCTGCAGTTTTGCAGCTGCTAGAAGGGGTGATTGTTTTGACTTAGATGCCTAAATTCCGTGTAAATCTTGTGTATGTATTCACCAGGTCCATTTGGTTCTAGACTGTAAGACTGCTAAATCATACTTTCAGAAATGAGGGAAGCATTTAGGAAACCAAGTCCCATGAAGGATTAGGTCCTTCATTTAGATGCCTCACCATGAACCAACAAGTCTAACTCTTATTTTTTTAAATCAAACCTTAGAGGATGCAGAAACGCACACACAACAAACAAAGAATCCTAGCTATTTTATCAGTGTTCATGTAGGGGTTTCCTAATAGGAATTGGCCCTGTCAATCTTGTTTCCTGCATCAATTTCAGTGGAAAAACTGTGCAATCTGTGTACTTATTTGTTTGTTATGCTCCGAGTTGCTGGCTTTGAACATACAAGCTCCAGTGAATTAACACAGAGTTCCATGGTTAAGTATAACATTTAAAAAAAAATGTAAAACAGCTGAAATGATTAAAGGATAAGGAAACATTATGGTTCACATTAATTGAATAAAAAAAAAATCTGATGTCTGTTTAAACATGTTAGAAAATGCAAATCTGCCTTAAAGTAGCACAATAGAATCCTAACAGATACTGGCCTCTTGTGGTTCCCCACAGGAAAGTAGAAAGTGGGAACTTAGATGTCTTGTTTTAACAGGAAAGATGAAAAGAGGAAGAAAAAGGATTGAAAATGCTGTGATTTCCCATATGCACACAGTATTCCTCTCCACTCATTGCTTGTCTGGGAAGCATCTGCAGCAAAAAGACCTCTCTGAAAGCAGATGGCTTTGAAATTAGGGTGTGATGAGAATTTATGAATCTCTAATATCTCAGGTGTCTATTATCAAAAGAATCATAGATCAGATGTTTAATAGTTTACCTTGTCTGGTATGGCTGGTGCAGCCCCACCTTTTCGTTCACCTTTACTAGATTGATTGTTGCGTGCTGCAAGGCCAGAGCTAGAACCTCTCACAGATCTAGTGGTATTGGAGCATGAAGGGCCCAGACCATTGTCCTTTGGTTTGCAACTCCTTTGGTGCACAGAGAGATGGTCAGGAAGGAAACTGCGTCCACAGTTATGACAAGGCATGGGCTGGGCCTGAGCACTTTGGTATGCCGCTTCATTTGCGGCATTAATATCATAGGAACCACCAGTTAGAGCCTGAGGTTTACTGGGTGCTGGTCTTCTGAGATGCTTTGGTAATTTCTCATTTTCAATATGCCACTTCTCCAAGCATTTGGGCTCATGGATGTCCAGAGATTGTGACCCAAATTCTCTCCCACAGATATAGCACACCTTAAAGCCAGGTCTCCTTGGTGGAATGACTGGTCGTTTCAGCTGACTCTGAGACATGCTTGAAGTACTTGACCGTTTCGATAATATTACTGTGCCTGGTCTCTTCTTCCCAGTGCCTGTTTTTACTGTGGAATCTGCACTCACTATTGCTGGCAAAACTGTGGGAAGATTTGACGCACTGTATGTTGCAACCTGTTTTGAAGGCAGGATGGTAGAGATATTAGCGGGGGCCTCTCCAGCACTTGGCAGAGTTTTATTATTTTTGCTCAAATTCTTTTTCTTTCCAGTTGTTTCCATTAAGAATACAATGTTCCATGAATGCTCTCTCTCTACTTTACACAGGGGGACTTGAGAAACTGAGAAGGTCTTTTGTTTAGTGTGACGCTCACTTTTGTTGACTTCACTTCCCTGAGCTGAACACAGCAGATGCTTTAATACCATATCCAGTTGATCTTCCAGTTCAAGTGGTTTTGATTTGCTTTTTCTGTGCTTTCTTGTTTTGTTTTGGGTTGGTTTTTTTGCTGTTTCTTTGAAAGAAATTAAATGAGATATCAAAAATTAATGTCTCTCTCAAAAGTTGGCAACAAGAGATTTAGCAAGAATGTACTTACCTTACTATTATGCCATACTTCCAAATACCACACAAATAAGAAAGGCCATAACAAATGTTCAACCCGTAATTATACCTGCCAAATTATTTTATGATAGAAATCTGAAACTGTAACTTAAGCAGTGTGAAACTATGAGAAGTAAAAATAAATAAATAATGAGTTTGCATGAAGCCCTTTAAATTCAAACTACTGAGCTTCACATAGTTCTATGTTATTAGGAAGTTTTAACTTCATTCCTGGGTTATGTAGTTAATTCATAAAATGTAGTGAATTCATGAAATTTCCCAATGCTATTGTATTCTGCAACTACTATGTATTTAATCTCTTAGGGTCTTATGGTCAGCTTTTGGTATTTACATGTATATGTGAGGAGTGGTCAGGTTGAGGAGATGTGAATCATCCCTTTTTCTTTGGCCTTGTGTTTTGGACTTATGACTGCATTTCCTCAGAGAGACAGATTTTTCTCCCTCCTATGTTTATCTTTATGCCCCTCTTAAATAACACTATTTTGAATTTCTATTGCTATAGAGACTTCTATCACTCCAAGGAGAATTTGAGGAAGAGATAAAAATTAAAAAGTATAGTCCACTGACTTACATGCTTACAGCTATCCAAATTTAACTTGGTGTCTTATCTAAAACCACACATCGGTACGAATATGACGGACATCTCTTGCCCTACAATTCAAGCTCTAACCTCTGAGCCAGACTGGTTGCCTATCACAACAGTAGTCAAATTTCCTTCCTCTAACTGAGAATAAATGAAGGAGACTTATTATGTAATTTCTTGACACTGTATTTGTATTCCCTTTGTGAGGCCTCAGGTGGGGTCCTTTTTTAATCTGTTTGATATTGCCTATTTTCTAATAAAATGTAAAAAAAAAAAAATTCTTTATGAGACCATGCACTCTTTAAATGGCCAAAGTGGTTGCTAGAGAACAATACTAGTTTCTCCTTTCTTTTCCAGGGTCTGACTTTGTCATTCCTACATATTTCCCAGTTCTTTCCAGGTCACAAGCAAACAATAATGTTTAGGGTAATCCTGCACAGTGGAGCATTATGCCACCCCTAGACTTTCTTGTTATTCGCTGTATTTCCGTGGGAGAAATTCTCCTGGGAGCAGAAAGCCTGACTGTGGCTTGATTATTTTTGAAGTAAATTGTGCTAGAAACACTACATGCCTCATCTCAGGAAAATACAGGAAACCTTGACTATTCATGCTGACCTAAGATTTTATTTTAATCATTTTTGCATATGTAACATTTAAACAAATATCTTGCTCTGAATTACTTTTTATCTCCATGACACCATCCTTCCATGCATTTCTGATTCAGGGTTGACTGGCAGACAAGTTCACAACCACAGATGTAACAAATTTGAAAATCCAGACATCATTCTGGCATATGAAGATGATTCTGTGTAAGGAAAAAAAATACAGGATGTGTTACTGAAAAACGAGATAAAACCCTTAACATGAAATTTTCAAGTAGGTATATTTCTAAATTTGCACTCTAAATTCACAGTGAAAACAAAGAATAAAATTAGCAATACATTTTGGATCATACCACTTCTCTGGGAGAGCAAGAGAATTAACTACATAACCACTAGTATGGGATAATGAACTATAAATTTGGCAAAGTTCTCCTGGGGCAATTAAATAAAAAATTAAAATGTCAAATGGGTTCCAAGATAAACACAGAACCTAATATTTGTTCAGTTTGGATTCATTTCATATTCCTGGATAGATTAGAAGTACAGCTGCCTGGTGTACTTCTGTACATACTACCTTATAATTTATATCCCTTCTTGAACTCAGTTTTCAAACTTAGTTTCCTGAAAGTAAAATTTTATTCTTTAAGGTAGTGCTGTGGAAATGGAGTCTTAGGAATAAAAATAAATCTGAATGTTTACTTTTGTTACCAGAGCTCATCCAACCCAGCTATGTTAGGGTGGGCAGGATTCCTTTGTGAGTTACATACCACCAACACAATTTGAAACTAAGTTCTAAATACAGGGGCAATTCTTTCATGAAATGTGCTTATGCAATCTTGTTCAAGACAAGTTTTATTAATGAAGATGGTAGTGTAAGAGTGATGTTGTAACTGTGATGGTCCACGGTGAGAGGCAAAGATTTCTTTGGGTGATATCTTTTATTTACCTTCCTATGGTATGGTTGGAAGAGAGTGGGGATGTCATATAACAAGATAAAAACCCAGCTAGACTTTCAGCTCCCAATATGAAAGGTTTATTTATAAATCCAACTGATGTTCTAGTCAGGACATGGAACGTACAAACAAAATATAGAGCTAGATTATGTTGCCTTTGCAGAGTTACTTAAGAATAAGACTGACTGGTAAAACCTGCAAATACGCTTAATTCCCAACCTAAGACTTCCACTTTATTAACTTAATAATTTAGATTATTGAACCAAAGTGATATGTTTAGAAAATATTCAGTAACTATCATCAGCATTTGCCATGAGAAACCAGATCAAATAAAACAATTTGTGTTACAATCAAATATTTAATAAGAACTCACTGTAACATTGTCATGCTTGACAGAGGATCTCAGAGTCTACAAACATGAATGAGGCTAAATTTCACAACAAAAGAAGAAATCAAGCACATAGAAGTTATATGACTTATTCAAAAGTATGTAGAAAGTCTAAGGAAGTGGCAAAAATTCACTCTGTGTCTTTTAACTGCTAAACTTCTGGTCTCAATAATATGACCCTTCCCTCTGCTAATAGCCTCAAAGTCAGATTCTGGACCAACATAAGAGGCAACAAATTCCAAGCTCAGGACCTGGCTATTTGTCTTCAAGAATTCAGCTCTCAGCATGTTTAAACACCAGGCTTCTTGCGTTTCTTATTGTTTTTGTATATTCTCTCCTCAATATATACATATATTTTACATGCAACTCTTTCTAAATTCAAGGAAAGTTATGTGCAACTTCAAACTTATTTGGTAACTTTTATTCCTTGTTTTTTTTTAATTTAAAAAAACCCACTGCATAATAAGGACTCTCATGGGCAGTTTTAGGCACCGTTCTGCTTAACTAGCATCCTTTCCGTTAACTATAAACACAATACAACATGAAAAAAAAATCACAAAAGCAAAGCCATAGCAGAAAGATATTTCTTGACCAACATTTCCCCCCTCTTAATGTCTTACAAGGATATCATTTAACCTGGGACTTACAGAATATTTGCTTCAAGGACTTCCTTTTTTGCAATTGGCTGATTCTACTGCTTGGACAAAATTTATCACTTATGCCTTTCAAGGCGTCTAATCAGAATATAGGCCTAATGCGCATGCTACAGGCAAATTTAATTTAGATTGTAAGCTCTTTGAGTTACTGTTTTATTGCATGAATACACAAGTACCCATCAAACTGGGGCATGATCTCTTGGAAATCTGTGTGCCATCATAAAGAAAAACACAACAAAATGTCACCAGAGCGATGCAATGTTCTTCCTGCTGTTAGCCCTACAAAGAGTTTTACTAACACTTCTGGCACAAATATGAGGCTGAATTTTCCCAGGGAATTTGTGACACTTTCTCATTCTACAAAGATTCTTAATAGCTAGATTTCCTTGTACAAAAGGTGTAGAGTGAATATAAGGGCATTGTGTATCCCATCAGAGCAAATCTGTGATATTTATAGGAACACATCTTTATGGGCAACATTTTGTAGTATCCAGCCTACTGGTGAATACTAGTGAAAAAGTTTAGCATTTGGAGTTCATCATCTCTAAACTGCTATTGTATTGTTACATCTTATATTCTGATAATTAAAGTATAAGGTTGAAAAATTAGTAATTTTTGAGACTGGCAGGTACTTGTATATCCATAGACATACAGAAATGCCATAGTGCTTTTATTTTATGTATCAAAAGGGTTATTTTACAGAGTTTTCTAGTCACTGTGCAATGTGAAACTGTGAAACAGTCTTGGGAAAAAGGCACTAAAAACTAATGGACCTAGAAATGAAATTCAAACATTTGGGGCTAGCTACTATAGCAAAGCTACACTGGCAGCTAGCTGCTTTTGTAGTGATGGCTGTATGTCAAAGAAATAACTTTTTCCACTTCTGCGCAAGACATTTAAATGCAGAAAACTTCCCTTTCTTCACTAAGGGTGCATACAGCCATTCAGGGAGGTTAGGGGCAGGCTAGATCATGTTAAAAATGTCCATCTGATCTAATATAGTTTGCCCAGGTGCAGACCTTACACTTAGATCCCTAGTTAGGTTGATCTAAGTGTGAACTGTACAAAAGTTCAGGATAATTGGATTGGTTGAAAAAAGCAGACCTGATTTAAATTAACCCTACCCACAAGGTGGTCTAATTTAGTTGAGGTTGGCCATTTTCAGACTAATCTAACTGTCCTGAACTTCTGTACAGTTCCCAGTGCAGCTCCAGGGCTGAGAAAAGCCAGCTACTGGCCACAGCCCTGGGACTGTGTTTTTCCTACCTCCTCCCTGAGCTGTCCCCACCCTCAGATGGACAACTACCCCCAGCAGACTGGTCAGCTCCCTCCCCATCCCAAGTTAACAGAAGCCCCCATCCCACAAGCTGCTCCCAGTGCTCATTTTACCAGTATTCAGCAGTGCCTTAAGCCAAGGAAGCAAGTCAGCGTGGGGGGAGAGGTGAGCAGGATTGGGGGGTTAGTTCACTGTGGGAGGGGGTTATTTGTTTTGGGGGCTAAAAATTGCTCCTCGTCCTAGGGGTGGTGGAGAGAGCTCCTACAACCTCCCAAGCCCCCCCTCCCCGATCCCATGAAACCTTCCCAGAGCCCACCAACCCCTCCACAGACCCTACCTACCACCCCAATCTCCTGATCCCCCCCCTGCAGACTCTGCCTGCTCCCCCAGTCCCACCTAAAGACTCTGCCTACACTCTGATCCAACTGATTCCTCCCATTGTCCCTGCCTGCCCCCCCGATCCTACCCCAGAGCCTGTTTGCCCCTGTGATCTGCTTAAGCCCCCCAACTAGCCCTCCCCATCCCAACTTACCTTACATGAGGTGGCCATTTTAAATTAACCTCCCTTAATCACCCTGAATGTCTGTATGTACCCTATGTGCCAACTATATAGCAAAGGACAAGAAATGGTATGTTTGTGTGTGTGTATATATATATATACACACACACACACATATATACATATGTGTTTTTAGGTTTATATATATATAAACCTAAAAGTACATTTTCTTTCATAGCAATCTGAATTTTCTGACCATTGCTTCTCTGGAGTTCATCTCTCCACCACACAATTGTCAATCTCCATTGCTTAGCAAGAGCTATGGATCTAGAATGTACACCATTTGTATTAATTGTCAAACAGGGTGTAACAGTGGGATTGTTTTAACTGCAAGGCCCTTTCAAAGAATGGGAATATTTCTAGGGAGGGTGGCCTGTTGGATGAACACAAGTTGGGAGATAACTTAACTCCTCAAGAAGGTCCAGGCTAATGGAGACATAGGGAAACTTTAAAGATTCTGAGAAAAAAAGTAGATAAAGATTATTGGAGGGTCATGGGAAGGGAAAAGTTCAACTAAGTCTCAAAGAACTCTGCACCTTGCAAGTTTGTGCCTATCACCACATGTTCTATTTAATCAGTTATGACAGAATGATCATTATGTTACCTGAAAAAAATTTAAAACAACTTCAAGCACTGATTTTCATTCAACTATTAGGTGACTCAGACTATTGGCATTAAGAATGAATCAGCCAATAAAAGACAGTATAAACAACCTATTAACAATAACATCTATTGTTGGACTTCCAAGCTCACTGTTGTAAATACTTCATAACAGAATTATGCTTCCTTGTGGGAATTACAGCATTTGGTCTATGTGTCTTCCTGCCAAGTGGACAGTTATTTGTTGGAGAGTATGTACAAATGCAGTGTACTATGTTCAAATTTATTTGAACAATTCAAACCCACATTTCTTTAGGTTAATAACAAAATGCATCCAAATCCTTCAGAGTTTGGAATTAAAGTTTCTGTACAGAACATGACACAAAACATGTTTCTTGTTATTCTTTCTTAAATTCATAGATTGTAGAGTCAGAAGGGACCACAATGGATCATCGTGTCCAACCCCTGCTCCTGGCAGGAAAGAAGACCGAGGTCTGACGACCCCAGCCAGGTGACTATCAAGCCTCCTCTTGAAAACCTCCAAGTTAGGTGATAATACCACCTCTCTTGGAAGCCCATTCCAGATTCTGGCCAAATGTTACAAGAGTTTGATTAATACAGTGGAAATGAGTTATAGTTTAGTATCTTAAATAGCAATGCTAGCTGAGTGCCATAATTTAAAATATGGAGTTGTAATGACAGTCCATTCTAAAATACTGGACTCGTATGATCCAATAAAAAGCAAGTGGAATACTGCAATGGCCAGCTCAG